ACATCACAAGATTATTAACTTACACCCCGGTCACATTGGCTGTGACTTGGCATGCGGTTTGCATGCCCTGCGACTTGCAAATCGTATGCCAAGTCGCACCCAATTGTCCGCTATCAGAGCGGTCATATCGGCGCGGTTCTGACTCTGTCAGAGCCGCACAGATTTCTAAAGGAGTGCATGCGCTACTTTTGTTGCAATTTGCATAGACCTCTGTGTCAGACGTCTTGGAAATCGCAACTGAAATCGGCAGGTCACCCGACTTCCAAATTGTGCGACTTCACTGTAAGTCGCACGATTTAAAAATCGGCTTTGATGTGACCGGGGGCTTAATGAACAAATCTGAAATGAAACAAATATTTCCACTGTGCACATCTCTAGCTGACACTGGATGGGAAGGGGTTAACATCTAGGGGCAATCAAGGGGTTAACCTGTGTGCCTAACAATGTGTCATGTATGCTGCTTTAACCCCTCACCCTCCAGAGGATTCCCCCCCTCCAGAGTATTTCCCCCATCCCTCGCCCTCCAGAGGATTCCCCCCCCTCCAGAGTATTTCCCCCATCCCTCGCCCTCCAGAGGATATCCCCCTCACCCTCCAGAGGATTCCCCCCTCCAGAGTATTTCCCCCCCCCTCGCCCTCCAGAGGATATCCCCCTCGTCCTCCAGATAATTTCCCCCTCACGCTCCAGAGAAATCCCCGCTCCAGAGTATTTCCCCCCCCCCGTCCAGAGGATATCCCCCTCACCCTCCAGAGGATTTCCCCCTCACGTATTTCCCCTCCAGAGTATTTCCCCCTCCCCTCGCCCTCCAGAGGATTTCCCCCCTCCAGAGTATTTCCCCCTCACGCTATTCCCCCCCCCCCCCCCCCCTCCAGAGGATTTTCCCCCTCACCCTCCAGAGTATTTCCCCCCCCCCCCCCAGAGGATTTCCCCCTCACCCTCCAGAGTATTTCCCCCCCCCCCTCCAGAGGATTTCCCCCTCGCCCTCCAGAGGATATCCCCCTCCAGAGAATATCCCCCCCCCCTCGCCCTCCAGAGGATTTCCCCCTCACGCTCCAGAGGATTCCTCCCCTCCAGAGTATTCCCCCCTCCAGAGAATTTCCCCCTCACGCTCCAGAGGATTTCCCCCCTCCAGAGTATTTCCCCTCCCCCTCCAGAGGATTCCCCCCTCCAGAGAATTACCCCCTCACGCTCCAGAGGATTCCCCCCTCCAGAGGATTCCTCCCCTCCAGATTATCCCCCTCGCCCTCCAGAGAATTTCCCCCTCACGCTCCAGAGGATTCCCCCCTCCAGAGTATTTCCCCCCCCCTCCAGAGTATTTCCCCACCCCTCGCCCTCCAGAGGATACCCCCCCCCCCTCTTCCTGACCAGGCCATTTTTTGCATTAAGGCGCTGCGTTACTTTAACGGACAATTACGCGGTCGTGCGACGCTGCACCCAATTTAAATATACGCTCTTTTTTTCCCGCGAATTGAGATTTCTTTCGGTGATATTTGATGGCCGGTGCAGTTTTTATTTTTTGTGCTCTAAAAAAAAAAGTCCGACAATTTGGAGGAAAAAAACTATATTTTCCAGTTTTTTGCTATTAAACATGTCCAGTAAAAAAAAATTACAAAATAAATAAATTTAGGCCAAAATGTATTTTGCTCCGCGTCCTATTACGTGTAAATTCATTGGTTTACGTGAAAGTTATAGCGTCTACAAATGGCGGTATAGATAAAAGGGATTTTTTTTCCCCCTATTAGTAATGGTGGCGATCAGAGACTTATAGCGGGACTGCGGCAGACATTCTGGCACTGGGGGGGGGGGGGAACTGACTTGGTGTCGCTAACATCCCCAGTGACACCAATACAGTGATCAGTGCTAAAAAAAAACCAGCACTGACACTGTACTAATGGCACTGGGCAGGAAGGGGTTAACATAAGGGGCGATCAAAGGGTTAACTGTGTGCTGGGAGTGTTTTATTGGGGGGTGGGGTCTGCGTGCTTCACTGTAATCACACTGCTCTTGATGGCTGTACTGTGCAGTGTGCCCGCTGTAAACAAAACAGTCCTCCTCCCCATCAGTGATTGTCGGTAATCACTGGGCGGGACCTGGTGATTGACATCCGCGGCTGCGAATGGCGGTGCGGGTGGGGCGCGTGCGTCCCCTACCCGGAAATGCAAACTCACGTATATAGTTGTGATGTATGAACGGCCGATGTTCGACATCAAGGACATCGCTAGGACACAGTCGAACAGCAGAATTCAACCGAAATCATTGGCTGAAACTTGCTCACCAAGTCATGCTGTATCCAATCACAGCGAGGGGGGGGGCCAAGGGTTGTGCGCGTGTAATGTAAAAATATTAATAAAACCCTAGCGCTCCTAAAACACTACTGGCAAAAAAACCCATTATCAGCGTTTTTCATCTTTTTTTTTTGTCAAAAAAAAAAACCCGCCAGTGTGCATGGAGCCTTAGTGCTCTGGACTGAGACAAGGACACACACTATAGAGGGATGTGCTTTGTTCATGTTTCACGTCTGAGGTTTACAGCCACCTCAAGTCTGGACACTTTCACCCCCTTCCTGCCCGGGACAATTCTCAGCTGTCAGCGTCGTCACACTTTGAATGACAACTGCGCGGTCATGCAACACTGTACAAACAGCGCTTTCTTTTGGTGGTGTTTTTTAAAAACATTTTGCTAAATAAACAGAAAAAGACCAAGAATTAAAAAGAAACAAATAAAAAAAAAAACAAATGTTTTCCTAGTTTCTGTTATCAAATTTTGCAAATAAGTAATTTTTCTTCTTCGCTGATGGGCACTGAAGAGGCTGCTACTTGGGTACTGATAGGCGGCACTGATGGGCAGAGAGAGCCTTCACTGATGGATGCTTATGAGGCTGCACTACTGGGCACTGATAGGCATTAATGAGGCTGCACTACTGGGACACTGATAGGCATTAATGAGGCTGCACTACTGGGCACTGATAGGCTGAACTGATGGGCATTGATGAGGCTGCACTGAAGGGCGCTGATGAGGCTGCACTACTGGGCACTGATGGATGCTGATGAGGCTGCACTGATGGATGCTGATGAGGCTGCACTGATGGGTGCTGATGAGGCTGCACTGATGGGTGCTGATGAGGCTGCACTAATGGGCACTGATAGGCATTAATGAGGCTGCACTACTGGGCACTGATGGATACTGATGAGGCTGCACTGATGGGCGCTGGATGAGGCTGCACTGATGGGCAGTGATGAGGCTGCACCGATGGGCATGGATGAGGCTGCACCGATGGGCATGGATGAAGCTGCACCGATGGGCATGGATGAAGCTGCACCGATGGGCATGGATGAAGCTGCACCGATGGGCAGTGATGAGGCTGCACCGATGGGCGCTGGATGAGGCTGCACTGATGGGCAGTGATGAGGCTGCACTGATGGGCATGGATGAGGCTGCACCGATGGGCGCTGGATGAGGCTGCACCGATCGGCATGGATGAGGCTGCACCGGTGGGCATGGATGAGGCTGCACCGATGGGCATGGATGAGGCTGCACCGATGGGCATGGATGAGGCTGCACCGATGGGCATGGATGAGGCTGCACACGATGGGCATGGATGAAGCTGCACCGATGGGCAGTGATGAGGCTGCACTGATGGGCAGTGATGAGGCTGCACTGATGGGCGCTGGATGAGGCTGCACCGATGGGCATGGATGAGGCTGCACCGATGGGCATGGATGAGGCTGCACTGATGGGCAGTGATGAGGCTGCACTGATGGGGGCGCTGGATGAGGCTGCACCGATGGGCATGGATGAGGCTGCACCGATGGGCATGGATGAGGCTGCACCGATGGGCATGGATGAGGCTGCACCGATGGGCATGGATGAGGCTGCACCGATCGGCATGGATGAGGCTGCACTGATGGGCATGGATGAGGCTGCACCGATCGGCATGGATGAGGCTGCACCGATGGGCATGGATGAGGCTGCACTGATGGGCATGGATGAGGCTGCACCGATGGGCATGGATGAGGCTGCACTGATGATCTGTGTAGATGTCCCTTTGAGAATCGCCAGTGACAGGTTCTCTTCTCCTCATGCTGTCAGAGCACACGAGGAGGAGACCGCCGATAACCAGCAAGTCTATTTTCACTGTGATTGGATACAGCTGATCACATGGTAAAGGGCCCTGTGATTGGCTCTTTACATTTCTCTGCGATCAGCTATGTCCAACGTACACAACAATCACAGAGCGCTTCTGATGCGTCAATACACGCCCTGCCAGAACCAGCCAACCCGCGCTGCAGATGTCTTTCGGCTATAGCCTGGATGGAAAAATGGTTAAAAAAAAAAAACTGTCTGCTTCATTTTACACCATGTGATGTCATCACTGGGTCTCTGTTCTTCTCTATGCAACACAGGCAGATCATGGCTGATGGGAGGGGCCGGTACATAGCATCCTGTAAACTCCCCGCCTCAGGACTCTTCTCAGGAACCCTCAGCCTATAGGCAGTCTTATGGGAGGAGTTATGCAAACATCACACCGTATTCATGAACAGGCGGTGGTGGGCGTTTCCTAGGCATAATATTTGCATATGGATGACGCCCACATGTGATTTAAAGGGGCGGTGGTAAAAATGACCCGACTTCACCTCCGGGGGTCGGTAACGTTTTAAAGGGACACGCCCACCAAAAGAAATGTCATCGCAGGGTCACAGAATTCCTCCCGTGATTTCCCGAATTGCAGCCGCTCGGTGACCCCGCTCATCGCACAGGACGATTGGTGACACCATCAGAAGACAAAAGTCGGCCGAATAGACAGATCCCCCCAGTGCCGGTCCCCGCAGCGCCCCCTACCCTCGGAGCGGCTCTTAGCGCCCCGGGCACCTCTCTGCCCATCGCTCCAGCACGGGGGATCCCGGGCACGGCCGCCCATTGGCTGCTCCCAAAGCACGCCGCCTCCTGATTGGTCGGGCGAGCCGTCCGTCAGAAGTAGAACCCCGCCCCCTCGCCTTCCCTGGAACCAGCAGGTTAGTGTTCACCGCGGTGCAGCGCAAAGGAGCCCGGGAGAGCGCAGTGACCCGGATTCGGGTGAGACCGACCGCGATCGCAGGATGGACATGAAGAAAAGGATCCACCTGGAGCTCCGGAACCGGACGCCGGCCGATGTAAGACCCGGGGGGTGAGGGAGGGAGGGAGTCCGCGGGGCACCTGGGAGGCGGGCGGGTAATGGACCGGCGATGTTTACGTTCCCTCTCCCCCCATCCGTACCGGCAATGTTTACCGACCTCGGGCGGCCCGCGTTTGTAACTTGGCGTCACCACAACGGCGGCCGGTCCTGTCAGGGCGGGATCGGGAGAGTCGCCCTGTGTGTGTGGGGGGCGGAGAGGTGACCCCCCCGGGTGTGGCGGTACACCCGGTCATTATTAGTAATATACCCGGGGTGTTTATATAACCTGGCCGCCATCTTCCCGGTGACGGCGGATCGGAGGATTACGTCCTCGCTGACAGAACATGGCGGAGGAGACGCGGTAACATGACCAGCCGCCGGGGCCATTTTGTTTCCGAAGTGTGACCTCAGGAAGGGCGGCCGGGTGTAAGAGGGGGAAGGGAGGAGGACGCGGCGGCGGGCAGCTCTCCGGTGATCGGCTCCGGCGGGCTGTGTGACAGAACACACAATGGTCACTTTCCCGCCCAGCGCGGCTGTGAGGAGAGAGAGGGGGGCGGCGCCCCATTGGCTGGAGGGCGGTCACGTGGGAGGGAACAGGTGTCTGAGGGGGAGAGCGCGGCCTGGAGGCCCTCAGATGAGGGATGGGCACCATAGCGGGCGGTATTCTGAGGGGTGGGCACCGTAGCGGGCGGTATTCTGAAGTTTAATAAAAATTTGTAAAAATCAGTAAAGAAATAAACTGTCACCCTCAACGATCCCCTACAACTGACCCCAATTCACACCCGTGTGATTTGTCACGCTTCGTCCCAGTATTCTGAGGTGATTTTTACTGTACCGGGTGTTATTCTGAGGAGATGGGCACTGTACCGGGCGGTAATATGAGGAGATGGGCACTGTACCGGGCGGTAATCTGAGGGGATGGGCACCGTACCGGGCGGTAATCTGAGGAGATGGGCACCGTACCGGGCGGTAATCTGAGGAGATGGGCACCGTACCGGGCGGTAATCTGAGGAGATGGGCACCGTACCGGGCGGTAATCTGAGGAGAGGGGCACCGTACCGGGCGGTAATCTGAGGAGAGGGGGCACCGTACCGGGCGGTAATCTGAGGAGAGGGGCACCGTACCGGGCGGTAATCTGAGGAGAGGGGCACCGTACCGGGCGGTAATCTGAGGAGAGGGGCACCGTACCGGGCGGTAATCTGAGGAGAGGGGCACCGTACCGGGCGGTAACATGAGGAGAGGGGCACTGTACTGAACGGTGTTCTAAAGTATGATAAAAACTGTCACCCACATTTACTCCTTCAACTGACCCCCAGTCATGCCTGAGGAGATGGGCACCATACTGGGTGGTATTCTGAGTAATTGTTACCGTACGGGCCGTTATTCTGAGGCGATGGGCACTGTAACGGGGTATTCTGAGGAGATGGGCACTGCACCGGGCGGTAATCTTAGGAGATGGGCACTGCACCGGGCGGTAATCTTAGGAGATGGGCACTGCACCGGGCGGTAATCTTAGGAGATGGGCACTGCACCGGGCGGTAATCTTAGGAGATGGGCACTGCACCGGGCGGTAATTTTAGGAGATGGGCACTGTACCGGGCGGTATTATAAAGTATAATAAAAATTCGTAAAAAACCGCAAAAAAATAAACTGTCACTCACGCTGACTCCTACAACTGACCCCCCCCCCCCCCCCCCCCCCCCCCCCCCCCGTTCACACCTGAGGAGATCGGGGCCGTGCCGACCGTTCTTCTGAGGAGATCGGGGCCGTGCCGACCGTTCTTCTGAGGAGATCGGGGCCGTGCCGACCGTTCTTCTGAGGAGATCGGGGCCGTGCCGACCGTTCTTCTGAGGAGATCGGGGCCGTGCCGACCGTTCTTTCTGAGGAGATCGGGACCGTGCCGACCGTTCTTCTGAGGAGATCGGGACCGACCGCGCCGACCGTTCTTCTTCTGAGGAGATCGGGACCCCGCGCCGACCCGTTCTTCTTCTGAGGAGATCGGGACCGCGCCGACCGTTGTTCTTCTGAGGAGATCGGGACCGCGCCGACCGTTCTTCTTCTGAGGAGATCGGGACCGCGCGCCGACCGTTCGTTCTTCTTCTGAGGAGATCGGGACCGCGCCGACCGTTCTTCTTCTGAGGAGATCGGGACCGCGCCGGACCGTTCTTCTTCTGAGGAGATCGGGACCGCGCCGACCGTTCTTCTTCTGAGGAGATCGGACCGCCGCGAGGAGATCCGACCGTTCTTCTTCTGAGGAGATCGGGACCGCGCCGACCGTTCTTCTTCTGAGGAGGAGATCGGGACCGCGCCGACCGTTCTTCTTCTGAGGAGATCGGGACCGCGCCGACCGACCGCTCTTCTTCTGAGGAGATCGGGACCGCGCCGACCGTTCTTCTTCTGAGGAGATCGGGACCGCGCCGACCGTTCTTCTTCTGAGGAGATCGGGACCGCGCCGACCGTTCTTCTTCTGAGGAGATCGGGACCGCGCCGACCGTTCTTCTTCTGAGGAGATCGGGACCGCGCCGACCGTTCTTCTTCTGAGGAGATCGGGACCGCGCCGACCGTTCTTCTTCTGAGGAGATCGGGACCGCGCCGACCGTTCTTCTTCTGAGGAGATCGGGACCGCGCCGACCGTTCTTCTTCTGAGGAGATCGGGACCGCGCCGACCGTTTCTTCTTCTGAGGAGATCGGGACCGCGCCGACCGTTCTTCTTCTGAGGAGATCGGGCCCGCGCCGACCGTTCTTCTTCTGAGGAGATCGGGACCGCGCGCCGACCGTTCTTCTTCTGAGGAGATCGGGACCGCGCCGACCGTTCTTCTTCTGAGGAGATCGGGACCGCGCCGACCGTTCTTCTTCTGTGGAGATCGGGACCCCCCGACCGCCGACCGCCGACCGTTCTTCTTCTGAGGAGATCGGGACCGCGCCGACCGTTCTTCTTCTGAGGAGATCGGGACCGCGCCGACCGTTCTTCTTTCTGAGGAGATCGGGACCGCGCCGACCGTTCTTCTGAGGAGATGGGGACCGTTTCTTCTGAGGAGATGGGGACCATTATTCTGAGGAGATGGGGACTGCGCCGACCGTTATTCTGAGGAGATGGGGACCGTTATTCTGAGGAGATGGGGACCGCTCCGACCGTTATTCTGAGGAGTTGGTTTTTATAAAGTCTAACAATAATTGGTAAAAACAGGAAATAAACTGTCACCCATACCAACGCCTACAACTGACCATCATTCCAAATTGAAGGTATGGGCACTGTGTACTAGTCAATATTCTGAGGAGATGGACACTACCGGGCGGTATTCTGAGGGGATGGTTAACATTCCGGGGGGTATTCTGAGGTATACTTACCATATTGGGTGTTATTCTGAGGAGATGGTTACTCTGCCGGGCGGTTTTCTAAAGTATAATAATAAACAATAAAAGTTGGTAAAAGGAAAAAAAATAAACTGTCACCCACACCAACTCTTACAACTGACCCCCATTCACACCTGTGTGATGCATTAAACTTCAGTTGCTTTTCTGAGGTGATGGTGGCTGGGTGTTGTTCTGAGGTGATGGTGGCTGGGTGTTGTTCTGAGGTGATGGTGGCTCGGCATCCTATTGGTCATTATTCTGAGGAGATAGTCCGTTATTGTACCGTTGTTATACTGAGGTATACTAATAATCATAAAACGATTGTTAATAAATGGGGTGGTTAACTCACCAACTGACATTTACCAGGCGTTGTTTTGAGGAGATGGTCACCATACCGGGCCTCGTTCTGAGGTAGATGGACGGTCGCCGTGCCGGCCTCGTTCTGAGGTAGACGGTCACCGCCGTGTTCCGGGCCTCGTTCTGAGGGAGACGGTCGCCGTGCCGGGCCTCGTTCTGAGGGTAGACGGTCACCGTGCCGGGCCTCGTTCTGAGGGAGACGGTCGCCGTGCCGGGCCTCGTTCTGAGGGAGACGGTCGCCGCGCCGGGCCTCGTTCTGAGGGAGACGGTCGCCGCGCCGGGCCTCGTTCTGAGGGAGACGGTCGCCGTGCCGGGCCTCGTTCTGAGGGAGACGGTCGCCGCGCCGGGCCTCGTTCTGAGGGAGACGGTCGCCGCGCCGGGCCTCGTTCTGAGGGAGACGGTCGCCGCGCCGGGCCTCGTTCTGAGGGAGACGGTCGCCGCGCCGGGCCTCGTTCTGAGGGAGACGCCGTCGGGCCTCGTTCTGAGGGAGACCGCCGTGCCGGGCCTCGTTCTGAGGGAGACGGTCGCCGCGCCGGGCCTCGTTCTGAGGGAGACGGTCGCCGCGCCGGGCCTCGTTCTGAGGGAGACGGTCGCCGTGCCGGGCCTCGTTCTGAGGGAGACGGTCGCCGCGCCGGGCCTCGTTCTGAGGGAGACGGTCGCCGCGCCGGGCCTCGTTCTGAGGGAGACGGTCGCCGCGCCGGGCCTCGTTCTGAGGGAGACGGTCGCCGCGCCGGGCCTCGTTCTGAGGGAGACGGTCGCCGCGCCGGGCCTCGTTCTGAGGGAGACGGTCGCCGTGCCGGGCCTCGCCGCGCCGGGCCTCGTTCTGAGGGAGACGGTCGCCGCGCCGGGCCTCGTTCTGAGGGAGACGGTCGCCGCGCCGGGCCTCGTTCTGAGGGAGACGGTCGCCGGGCCTCGTTCTGAGGGAGACGGTCGCCGCCGGGCCTCGTTCTGAGGGAGACGGTCGCCGGGCCGGGCGTTTACGGTCGCCGTGCCGGGCGTTATTATGGTGGTGTAATAAAGATGGTGTGTGATAGACCATCACCGATTCCTACCACTGACCCCTTCTCACAGCTGTGTGATTTGTCGCACTGTCACCTGACTGATCATAACAAGGGATCCCTTCATTGTCTTTGCGGCTCCTTCACATGTATGTAACGTCCATCCATGCAGCTTGGTAAAGGCTCTTTTATTGCATTTTTGGCCTGATAGACTCTATTGGTAGTCAGTGGTCATGATCCCCCTCCTCCGTCCCCCCCCCCCCCCCCGGGGTCTAAAAGTGGGTGAAGG